GTAATGGATTTCTTAGAAATCTTAATCAAATGATTATAATAAAAAAAATATAAAAGAAAAAGAAAGCGATGAATTGTTAATCGATGCAGTAAGAGATAATATCCTCATCTATATAATTCATATTTGAAGGAGTATATAAGATGTTAAATAAAAAGAAATTCATGGAATAAAATTGTTTCTTAGAAATTCATGACCATGAATACCATACAATCCTCCTGGTCTCTTCATCGCAAAACAATAATTGCAAATGAGTTTTCTATACTTCTGGTTAAAAATTTTATTTTTTACACTCATCAGTTTCTTTTTTTTTGTTTTAAAACTTACTAATATGACACTTACCAGTATTAGTTTCTCTTATTTCTTTTTTAATTGATACTTTATCGATGTGATGTGATATTATTATACGTTAAGAAAATGTAATGTGATATTATGTTAAGAAAATATGTAGAAACTTGACTGATAAATATATACGAAAAAATGTATATATTATATATTCATTAAATTAATTTGTGCATTAAAAATGACAGATCTTTTTATGATGCCTATATTCCATTATGTTCCAATATTTCGTAGTGCAGACATTTTTTAAAAACTCGTAACTTTATTCTCTATTAATTATATGTTGTTAGCATTTAATATTTCTTAAACTGATAAACTGATTTATAAAAGGGTACACATGCACATAAAAGAATTGAGACAGATATACATATATATACAATTATTTTTATTATATAACTCAAATTAATTAACACATAAAAATGTTTCAAAGCTCGTCATAAATCATACAAATACTATACGCTGTATTTATATAGATTAGTATCGCAGGCAGTAAATTATCTTAATTTTTAAAAATTAAATTTTATAATTAATATAATTTGCATATTAATTTTGTTTCATCAAATTTTTAGATTAAAAAAAATGTACACTATACGTAAAAAAAGTAGTATTTTTATTTCGTAATATTTTTTTTGAACAGAAACGCATGTTAAATATGCGGGATAATTTTTGAATGCATTCATACTATAAGACGCGATTGTTTAACTGATTGTGAAATAAATATTAGTATTTCTTCTTAATAAAAATATCAATTGACAATGATTTTTAAGTTAATAGAATTTAAAATTCTTTAAAAAAATAAAAATTTAATTTTCAACTAAATAAGCTTCGAAGTCAAATAACGATAATTAATTAAATTCTTTTCTTAATTGAGAAAAATCTGATATTATTATTTTTAGTTTATATAAGATCAGGACCATTTAACCCTCTGCAAATATAGTCATATTGCCATGGAACTTCACCATGAGGTGTTATTAAATAGTCTGCTATATCATCCCGTTGCTTGTATGCTATCTGAGTAGAGCGATGAGCAGTAGTTGGTCTAATACGTTCCATGTTATTTCCAAAATATTCATTTCTCCATACTCCAGGAATAATATCACCATTTTGTTGCTCAGTATCAA